TGAGATCTTAACTGTTCAGTTAACCTAGTCAATTCTGCCTGAAATGATTTGCTCACTTGATTCACTATATTGTGATTTTTCTCCATGAACTGACACTGTAAATGTTTTAGCAAAACACTTTAGTGCATGGTTAATTACTACTCTCAGATCAAAACCCTTGTAACTATTCAACACTGTCACTAGTAAGGCATACACAATTAGGCTGTAAAATCAAACAATATATACACGAACACTTTTTCTTCTTAGTTTTTTTTTTTTTTGAAGTCCATAAAGATGTAAAGGTAGCACAGTCTATCTAACCTGCTGTTAATTGCAGAGCAGCACTCTTCTGCTTGAAACAGTGATGGAATAAACAAACACTGTTCTCTGAAGCCTGTAGAAAGGATATTTGCAAAGCAAGAGTCTACGTGGCTAAATGTCGCCCTCTATTGGACGTTTCGTTTCGCCGTACTTCCTTTGCAGTGACAGCTGCATAACGGCAAGCCTCGTCTTTGACGCCTTCTCTCTCCACGCAATAGCCCCGCGATCGTGTACCATCTTTGTCTTTGTATCCGAAGACTCTTCTGTACGCGATGCACCCGCGATCTTGTTTCCTCTTCTCATCCGACCGATGCCGTTCCACTCTTTATACTGGTCGGCTTTGCGGCGTTACGTTTTCACTGTAACTGCACTGGTCTAATGAAATGATAGCCACGCTTCATACAGATGTCTTTTTGCTGTTTATTGGTCTCTCTGTCTCGGTCTCTTTTCAGCAGACACCATGAAAACTACAAGAAATAAAGCATATAATGTTCAAAATATACATTTAGGTCGAGTCCTTTTCAAGTCTCTCATGTAAATGTCCACTGATACACAAGTGAACACATGCAAAAAATCCGAATCCAATGACATCGCTATTTACACATAACATTGTTTATGTAAACTGATATAAAATAACACTATACACAAAATGCAACCGATTTAAAGATTAATTACCGTGTGCGCCCTCTTACACCATGCAGATAAAGGTACTGTTTTTCAGGCTCTGCATACCATTAGCGTTTCTCTGCATCCATGTTACTTCAACCCATAATGCAACGGTCCCGCATTCAACTCAACCTGGTGACCTGTTACGCTTCAATAGTAACTCTTCTTAAAGAACCCCTAACTTTAAACATTTTAAGGGAATACATTCTCTACTTATTAACTTGAATATCACGTACATACATTTTAGTCAAATATTTTTAAACAATAAATGAACTCAAATTGACATTAATTTTTTTAACAGAAACATAAATATCCACATCTCTTTGAAAACATGTCTGTTGACAGTTACACTGAGTCTGAGATATAATGGCAAAAGGTGCAAACCGAATGCTGATAAACCGTCAATGGATAGAGGTAAGTCAGCTGTATTTATATCATGGTGTTGATTAACTTGAGTGCGCTCCACCTGTGGTAATTAGGCTAAGTATCTGACGCGCTTCTCCCGAACCTTGTTAATAAAACATCATATCGGGTTATGCCGTATGGCCTGTCCAACTCACCCTCCATCTTCCAAGGCTATATGAATGAGGTGTTCCGGGGGTTCCTCCAACGCTTCGTCATCGTCTACATCGATGATATCCTTCTATATTCCCAGAACCTGGCCGAACATCGCCTCCACATGAAGCAGGTCCTTGAGAAACTCCACCAACACCATCTCTATCTCAAGTTGGAGAAGTGCGAGTTCCACACCACCTCTGTACACTTTCTGGGCTATGTCATTGACCAACACGGCATCCAGATGGACCAGAGTAAGGTGGAAACTGTCCAAAACTGGCCTCAACCAGCTACAGTCAAAGAACTTTCTGGGATTTGCCAACTTCTACCGAAGGTTTATCCACAACTGCAGCCTGCTCAGTTCACCTCTCACCTCTCTACTCAAGGGCCAGCCCAAGTCTCTGTCCTGGAACCCATCTGCCTTAGAAGCTTTCCATAAACTCCAAGAAGTCTTCCAAACCGCTCCACTCCTTGATCATCCCAATCCAGATCTCCCGTTCATCTTCGAGGTAGACGCCTCTTTCACCAGGGTCGGAGCGGTCCATATGCAGCGGCAGGGTGATCCTCCACGACTCCATCCATGCGCCTTCTATTCCAAGAAGCTCTCCCAGGCGGAGCAGAACTACAATATTGGAAATCGTGAGCTCCTAGCCATCAAGCTTGCTCTAGAGGAATGGAGACACTGGCTGGAGGGAGCGAATCACCATTTTGAAGTCATCACTGATCACAGGAATCTTGAATATCTGTGTGATGCTAAGAGACTGAACCCACGTCAAGCCCGGTGGGCATTATTCTTCACAAGATTTGATTTCACTGTCTCATATCGACCTGGAGATAAGAACTGTAGGGCTGATGCCCTGTCACGCCTTCATCAACCTGATCCTGAAAACCCTTCTCTAGAACCTGTTCTCCCTCCAGCCATGATCGTCAGCCCGATCCAGTGGTCCATCGATGAGCAAATTACACAAGCTAATCGCTCCGAACCTGCTCCGCTGGGAGGTCCAGAGGGGCTCCTTTATGTACCACCAACCTATCGTCTGCCCCTCATGGACTCCGCTCAAACGTCTCCGGGCTCTGGACACCCAGGTAGTCAACGTACCCTCTCGCTCTTACGTCATCGCTACTGGTGGCCCAACATGGCTCAGAATATCCCACGGTACATCAAGGGATGCTCAGCCTGTGCCGTCACCAACACTCCCCAGAGACATCCGGGAGAAAAACTGGTTCCTCTGCCCATTCCACACCATCCATGGTCTCATCTGGGCATAGATGTCATGACCGACCTTCCATCTTCTAATAATCATACCTGTGTGTTCGTCGTCGTTGACAGTTTTTCAAAAGTATGCAAACTCATCCCTCTCAAAGGATTACCCACTGCCTTCGAAGCTGTTGAAGCGCTCTTTCAAAATGTATTCCGTCACTTCGGCCTTCCTGAAGACATCGTATCAGATCGTGGTCTACAATTCATCTCTTTCATATGGCAAGCTTTCGTCAAACTGTTGGGAGTTTCAGTAAGCCTCTCCTCTGGTTACCATCCTCAAACTAATGGCCAGACTGAGCGAAAGATCCAGGAAATCGGGAGGTACCTGAGGTCCTACTGCCACCAGAACCAGGAGAGCTGGAGCCAGTTCCGTCCTTAGGTGTAGTACGCTCAGAACTCCCTAAGACAATCCACCACAGGGCTCATTCTGTTCCAATGTATCCTGGGGTACCAACCTCCGTTATTTCCCTGGTCGGGTGAGCCCTCAGGGGTTCCAGCTGTCAGCCACTGGTTCCAGCAGAGCGAGAGAATATGGGACTCAGCTCATGTGCACCTCCAATAGGCAGTATGGAGACACAAGAGGCAAGCTGACACTTGGAAGAACATCAAGACTGAAAGACTGAAAAGACCCTCGCTACCAACCGGGTCAGAAAGTGTGGCACTCGACATGGGACATCCGTCTCCGCCTGCCTTGCCATAAGCTGAGTCCCCGGTACATAGGTCCATTCACCGTGCAGAGGCAGCTCAACAAAGTCACCAACAGGCTAAACCTTCCACCTCACTACAGCATCTCACCATCTTTCCATGTGTCCCTCCTTAAACCTCACTCTGAACCTTTGTTGTCTTCCCCCACAGAATCTGGTGGCAATGAGGTACCTCCTCCTCCCGAAATCACAGATGAGGAAGCCATCTACCTGGTCCGGGCCATCCTCGACTCGCGGTGGCGGGGCCCCAGGCTGGAATACCTCATCGACTGGGAGGACTATGGTCCCGAGGAGCACTCCTGGGTCACTCGTCATGACATTCTCGATCCAGTGCTCCTCACACAATACCACGCTGAACACCCAGATCGCCCAGCTCCCAGGGGTCGAGGTAGGTCCCGTCGTTGTCGTTCCATCCGGCCATCAGGAGCCCACCGTGGAAGAAGGGTCACAACCATCACAGACCAATTACAACCCATCGTCACCAGATCAGCACTCTCCACCCACTCGTTCACTTTCCTCGGACTTCTGATTCACTGCACCTGCACCTCATCATCAGCACTCACTATAAAGAGACACTTCTCCTGCACTCCCTTGTCTGGTTTCGTCCGTATGAACACTAAAGACTCCTTACCTGATACTTACCTGTCTTCTGTCATCCGTCATCTGTCATCTGCCCTTCGTCTGCTTCGGATCCGTTCATCTGCAAGAGAGTCATTACTATTTCTGCAAGCTAAGTCTACATTCATTCTGCATATTGATATTCTACTCACCAGTCTGCATTCCTGTCCAGTTCTGTGCCTCTGTTAAAAAAAACTCTGTGTGTTATACAACATACTGCATCCTTCTGTTGTGTGACAATATGGAAATGTATTATTTAATATATTGCATAATATTCCCATATATTATTGTTACGTGAGGGACCCATAAGACAAAACATTACACTAATATTGTGAACACTAAATGTGTTATTTCGTGTGAGCATTTAATTAGCAACACCAGCTACAGTATATTCATCTTAGTAGTTTGCCATGCCAATGGAACCAACCAAACCCACCAATCACAGGAAAAATAGTTGTATATTTAATTTTCTCTTGGGTTATGATGTCAAATCACACATAATATGGCCAAGACATATAAACACAGAGACAAACATGGTGTGCTCTTGAACCTCATGATAACTAAATAGCACTGAGTAAAAGAGGTTGCAACAGCTGGTGCATCTATAAATAACGTTTGCATCTTCTAGTCATCTGCTTTGGTAAGTCAAGAATATTTCTAAACTAAATATATTTTGTATTATCAAACATGCATATTACAATTTCACAGTGATCACCAATATTTATTGGGTTCTATAAGCTAGTATGGATGAGTAAAGTATTAGCATTTCCAAAGAACTGACACGTAGATGAAGAAAGCGTTGTTGTTTTTTTTTAAATAAATACTTCTGTAGTAAAACTTTGAGGCAATATTCCTGTTGTCACTCTATGTTTCTCTACCTTTTGTTTTGGTCACAGATGGACAACCAGACATTCAGATACAGCGTACTCTTAGTGGAAGGACTGAATATTACAACTCAATCCAGCTATCTCGCATTTGTCGTCCTTTTGATGGCTTACATATTTATAATGGTATCTAACCTTTGGATTTTGATTCAGATCTCAGCAGAAAAAGGCTTACACCAGCCCATGTACATTATTTACTGGAACTTGCCACTCAAAGATGTTATAGGAACAACTGTTATTGTGCCACGTTTGTTGAGGGATCTTGTAACAAACCCCTCTGAACGCTACATCACATATGTGGAGTGTGTTTTTCAAGCTTTTTTTATACATATGAATGGAACAACATGCCACACTATTCTAATGATTATGGCCTTTGACAGATATGTGGCCATATGCAATCCACTGCGTTACACTGCTATAATGAGCAATCATTTGGTGGTTAAATTGTCAGCAGGAGCTTGGGGTACTGCGTTAGTGCTGGTGGGAATTTTGATCAGCCTCAGTGTGCGTCTGTCTCACTGCAGATCTGTGATTCAAAACCACATTTGCGATAACGCTTCACTATTTAAACTCTCTTGTGAAAATACAGTGATTAATAATGTATATGGATTAACTTTTACTGTAGTTTTACTAGTCTCTTCAATGGGAAGTGTTGTATTAACTTATCTCAGAATTGCAATTGTATGCTTCACCAGCAAGAACAAAGCAACAAACAAAAAAGCCATAAAAACATGCTGCACTCACTTGACTCTTTACTCAGTTATGTTAGTCTCTGGATTTGTTGCAATTTTTCTCCACCGTGTTTCTGAATACTCTGACAATAGAAGAATAGCAAGTATAGTTTTCAGTATTGTGCCACCAGGATTGAATCCCATAATATATGGTTTACAAGTCAAGGAAATAAGACAGAATTTGTTCAAGTTTTTAAAAAATAAAGTTAATTCTATGTGATTTTTGGTTACATATTCATGAACAAAGTTACTGTATAATAACAGTTAAAGAGATTTTTGTTGCAATTGGTGACTTTTAATCGTAAAAAAAATTATTTCTGTTCACTTTTGAGCATTGCTTATGTGTATCTGCTTGTGTAAAATTAAGACCACTGAGAGAATGTTCAATATAGTTCAATATAATAATATAGTGAATATTATTCATATAGGGCAAAAGGCTTCAGTAACAAGTAGAAACTAAACCAAGGCTACTTAGACTGTATACAATTTAATAAACTGATATTTACAGCTAAGTTGTTATTTACAATATCTCAATGAAGAGTTTGAGGGATATTAACAAAAACTACTAGTAAAGTAGAAAAAAAAAAAATAAATCCTGGAGTTCAGCTCCTACACCACACTGCTAATGAATGTATTAAATTGATAATAGAATCACAGTAATGACATAAGCAGCAACATTGCATTTTGCATTGCAAATTGTAAATATATGACAGTCTACATTTCTCTTTCATTATGAAACATAATTTGTGTGAATAGCCTAAAAACATTATTGGCATATGTGATATCAGCTCACAGCTTTGTGATAAATACAATGGAACTGTAAAATATTGTATGTATAATAATTATAATTGTAACTTCTGAACTGGAATTTAAACGTGGAATTAACAGTTTAACCCTTAAAACCTTTCAGTCAGACAAATTTGTTTTCTTTTATTTTCTTTCTTTTTTTTCGTAATAAAATTGGTTTCATCATTCTGGTTTCCTCATTCTGGTTTCCAAATCGGTGAGTGTTTTTCCATATGCAATGTGACCACACAAACAAAAATCGTTCTTTGTACAATGCCAGTTCACCAGATGGCAGCAATCTGACCCAAATACATAATAAATTATTTATGTTCCAATTGAATGTGTTCACAGAAGTATAGATTTTTAGTATAGTGAAATTTGAAACTTTTCCGTATTTGCTTATACAAATGACCTAAATGTCCTAATGTCCAAATGACCTAAAATTCCAAAAGAAATGCACAATTTTATTGTTACTACTTCAAGGAAATTAGTGTTATGTAATTTTGTGTAAATAATTAAATAATTTACACTCTCAACATTCCTGGGCCCGTATTTAACAAGCTTCTCAAAGTGCCATTTTAGTCTTTATCAAGCCTCTGAGAATTACTCTCAAGAACGTTGCTAAGAATTGACTTGAGTGTAAAAAAACTTCTTGGCTCAAAGCTGCGCTTAAAAGTTAGTTATCAAGCATCTTAGTTGTAATTTAAGCGAAGTGTAGGACTAAATCTTAAGTGTCAGTCTTAGAGTTGATTCACGACACTTTGTTGTGCCACAAACGGATTTTTGATGACGAAACAAGCATGGACCAATCACTGAATAGATTTCCTTATTTAAGAATATTCTCAGATAAATTCACGTTTGAATGATTAAATTCCTAATAGGAGTTTACATTCAACACACATTTGACAATAAAGTATTTTCAAGAGAATACACTATGCTAAGGCAATGAATTGTCATCACAACCTTCAATTTAGGGTTGTGCCAGTAGACGATAGTATCGTGTATCGACGATAGTCAGAGATATCGCCTGTGGCTGATTTATTTGACGACAGCAAGACGATTATTATTATTATCCATCAAAAATATAGGCGCCTATCTTTAGTCATGCAGCGCAGAGAGCCGCTTGAGAAACTTGAGAAACCGCGGCGCAGGTGGTGAGTAGCCGGGATCAGCTCCGGTGGCCGTGTCGGAGCCATAATGTGCCGTAGACGTGTGCAGTGTAAATAAGGGGTAAGAGATTTATTCATGATACAGTGTAAGTAGCTTCACTGATTATAACGGGAATGTTTTTAAAGAGCATATTACTCACGCTAGACTGAAGTCAGTTATGATGTTCTATGGTAATGTAAATATTCTTTGCTCGTTTCTGTTTGAATAACTGAGGAAATGTAACTGTTTTATTAACTGCTCGTCATCAAACATTTCAAGAGCATTCTTCCTCTCCTGAAATATTTGCGCACGTCTCTGTCTCCTCAGCGCCATCACAAGCCCCTACTGACAACTCCTAACCACTTGAGAGACCTCTCGAGCTGTCTTAAATAACTGGGAGAGTAAGAGTGATTCTTAGCTTTAAGAAATGTGATAACTTGCTTTTATACTTGTTTGAAAGTAGGAGTAAATGTAATGAATTCTCAGCACTTAAGACTAAAATGGCACTTTGAGGAGCTTGATAAATACGGGCCCAGGATTATAGAAACATCCCAGGAAGGAAATTTCACTGGGCAGATCAGCTGTCCGGGACCACATAAAAAAGTAAAATACTAAGATGCAAAGAGTTGGCACTTCTGAGCATATATCTCCTTGTAGAGGGAGCTCAAGCATTTACATTGGACTCCGCAACCTTAGCCAAGAGACCTGGATCTGGGAGCGGATCCCCCTGGGGGCCAAATCCACATTAACCATATTGAGCATATATTGAGCCCCACGCCTGACACAGAAGGTTTCTCTTGATGGGAATTCCCCAAGAAGAGCCTTTTAGGATATATAGTAGGTCTGAGAATTATACTCATAGTCTGTCCTGGGAAGAAATGACAGATCTCAGGTTCAGCCTTCACTTGGACTAGAGAGAAAGTGTTGCTAGAGGCCATGACCCACAGTCTCTATGAGGAGGTTTGGTCAGTGACACTGATTTTCCATCTCCTCCCAGTTGTGGAGGGATCTAAAGCCAGACCATGGATTTATCTACACATGTCACTCTGTGGCAGCCATACCTTAGCTAACTTAGTTTGCTTACATTTTTAACCATGCAATATTTTTTTTTTTCATTTGTAAGGTGTTTGAGGGTTCCCTGTCTGTTAGTTACTTCAATGTTACATTGAATTACTGAAACTAGCTCTCACACTTGAGAGCCCCAAACACATCTGACATTTCAGAAAATTCCAATGAGAACGTCTCGGTTACGCATGGTAACCCTCGTTCCCTGAAGTAGGGAACGGAGACGTCACGTCGGATGACCGACGAATTGGGATCTCGCTTAGAGAGACCAATCTACTTTGAGTGTAAACTAAACGAGCCAATGCACATTGGCATGCGATTATTGCATCCAGCT